GGCCTGGGGTCTGTGTGTGCACGGTGGTGAGGAGCTGGGGTAGGACGGGTGTTTCACAGAGACTCCCTGTTCACACTCCGCGTTGACAAAATGGACACAGGAGGCCTTTTGTTTTTACCTTTAGAGAGAGCGTTGTCTCTCCTGAGCCCCCCGCAGATAACCAGGTGGCACGGGGCGATGTTTTGGCCAAGGCCCCCTCCTCTGGAGACACGTCCAGTCCCCCCAGTGCCCCTTCAAGTTCCCCGGGTCTCGGTGGAAGTGCTGGGAGTGCGGGGGAGGTGGGTGGGCCTGGGCAGGGACCCTGGAACAGAAAACACCCCCATGCCCTGTAGGGACATTCTCAGCCCACAGGGCCGGCCAGCCTGTGTCTCCCCGGGCAGGCACCTGGTTGGCCCAGACCCGGCCGCGCGGAGGGCTGCTTTCTGAGACAGCCTTGCACTGAGCGCTGGGAGCAGACTGCATGACAGGTAGGAGGGCAGGTCTGGGTGAGCAGCTTCCCCGTCCCTCCACGCTCTGCTGAGCAGGTTGAGGCTTGGTCAGGGAGCTCCACAGACAGTCCATTCTGGGCTGGCCAGCTGCTGCTGGGGCCCAAGCCAGCACCCAGCCTAGGGTACCACTGGCAAAGGCCTGTGGACCCAAGCCTGGGGCCCAGAGGATGGGAGAAGCATTGCCCTGTGAGCCTTCTGGGTGAGCTGCTTCCCCTGGTGTGGCCCAGGCCAGTAGGTGTGCAGAGGGGCCTTTGGCAGCAGTGTGACTACGCGGGGCTGGACAGTGTGGGGAGGCGCCAAGGTCCACGTTACTTCCAGGTGCTAAAGCTGGGTGACTGGGACGTGATCCAGGCACTTGGCGCTCTGTCTCCTCCTGCAGTCGAGTGCCTCCCTGTCCCTCTCAGAGTGGCCGGGTGACAGTGGGTGGCACGTAGACATCCCTCCTCTGTTCCCTCTGCCCAGTGTGTGTCCCAACTGCATCAGGGCAGCCTCCGTGGCGCCAGTGCGGGTCCAGGTACATGGGGCTTTTGCCCCGCGGAGGGGTCGTCTGGTTATGAAAGTAAGTCCTTTGGTGCCAGGGACATGCTCAAGGAGGGAGCAGGGCCAGGAAGGAGGAGGATGTGCTAGGGTTCTGCAGGGTAGCGGCTGTCACTGGGGCAAATGGACGTCTAGTGGGACAGCCGGGCCCCTACCTGGAGGAAGGCTGTTTGCAGGACCCTAAGTGGTCAGGTGCCCTTTTCTGCTCGTGTTCTGAAGGCTTTTGAGGTTGCCTTTTAACTCAAGTGTCCTTTGCAGTTCTGAACCTAGAACGTTCTGGAGAGCTCCTCAGGATGCTGACAGCACGTCCACTTCCCGGTGACTCTGTAGCGGGCCCTGCTCCCAGAAAACCTCTCCCCAGTTCTCAGAGTAGATGCTGCCCAGAGGGTGGACTGATCTCGGTGCAGGTGAGCTCCAGGGGGTGTGGGTGGGACCCACAGAGATGGTGCCGGCCACCTGTGGCCACAGCCCCCTCGGAGAGCCACCTGCCTGGGAGACAGGTGGGCTGGTCTGCAGGGGACACACCTGCCCCAGGACCACTGAGACATCATTTTTCCCATGCAGCAAGGCCACTGCTCTCAGAAGGGTGGGTGACGAGGCCAGGTAGCCATGGGCGCCTGCCCCATGCAGCCCTGGGTGCTAGTGAAGGAAGGAGGTAGCTGGCTGAAGCAGTGCCCAGTGGGCAAGGAGGGGGGGTGTGGGAAGACCTGGCTGACAGCGTCTGGTCACACAGACTGTGCAGAGTCCAGCAATCGAGGGGCAAAGGCCTTTTCCCATTTAAGTGTTAAAAACGTTCCCGTACACGGAAAACCCAGAAGGGGCAGGCAATGCGTGAGACAGGGTAGCTGCGTTGGCCGAGGGGACACACTGGGCCAGGAGCTGGAGAGGCCCAATGAGGGGCGGCTGGCTGTGTCTTGGTGCCAGGAAAACAGGACAGGAGGGAGGGAGGGGAGGCTGAGAGGGGACAGCTCTGGCCTGGGGGTGGTCAAAGGGTTCAGGGCCCCGCAGCACTGCAGGGACTGGGCCACGTGAGCTCAATGAGCCTGTGGTGGCCAAGCACGTTGAGAGCCAGGAGCAGGCTGCCCTGCCCCTGCCAGTCAGTGCAGGAAGGCTGGGAAAGACGACAGGGCCGGGGCGTGTTCTGGAAGGTTCCAAGCTCAAAGAGTCCAAAGAGGCCCAGGTGTGAAGTTCCCATCTGCCCCGGTGCACAGCCCCGAGCCAGAGCCAGGTGAGCCACTAGCAGGGGTGGGCCTGCTGGCTGCCTGGGTTGCTTGCTCTTCCCTTTATTAAAATTCATTCCCACTGTCCAGGGCTGAGGGTCTCTGGGGACAGATGTGTCCTGCCTTCCCCCACACCCAGGTTCAACCTGGGGGGCTAGCACTTGACCCATCTCCACGGCGCCTCCCCCACCCCCCAGTGGACCCCCATTCAGCCCAGCGTCAGAATCTGAATGCTGCTCCACCCAGCTCTGCGTCTGTAAGTGGCACTTTCAGTGAACTGTACCTCCAGCCACCAAGATAGGAGCCACAGCGTCCCCCCCCCTCCCCGTCCAAGCAGAGCCAGTCTGAGGCCTCGCTGGTCACCTCCAGGAGGGGGCTTCTGACCTGGGAGGGGCCTACACACGGAGTGTTCAGTGGGCGCCTGATTCACACATGCAGGTCGCAGAAGCAGTCTTTCTCCCCTACCACGCCAGGCCTAGTTGGCCACAAAATCATAGTTTAAAATAAATAAATAAATAAAATAAAGTAGTCCAGAGCAGAAGAACGAAGAAACCTAAGTGACGGTTAAGCAACAGAAGGGCCCCCACGGGGGAGTAGGAGAGCCTCGGGAGGCAGTGTGTGCGGACACGTGCAGACCCGAGTCCTGAGGACCGGCCTCCGGCTCTGCGTAGGCGGCCGGGGTCAGCAGGGGCAGGTGGAGGGAACCCCCCAGGTGTACGGGCCCCCAGGTAGAAGGCCACGGGGAGCACGCGGCTCTGGACCCTGTGGTGGGACCGCACGCCCACCCGGCCCCAACCTGGAACAGCAAATGTGTGTCCCTGCTGGGCCTCCATTTCCCTGTGGGGGGTGGGGGAGGGCACACGGCTGCAGGGGACACCTTTGGGTTTTTCCCCCAAAAGGATTCAAACCTACAAACAAAATCACACAAGAAGGCTGAGTTAGAAGAAAAACAAATAATCACAGAAAGTCAACACCAATGAATTTTAGACTCCAGTGAAAAATACTTGAGTTACTTCCTGACCCATCTCCACACTGGGCCCAGTTGGTCTTGAAGGCGAACGTTCATCGGCCCCCCCACACCCCGTGCGTGTCTACCGCTACCCAGATCCGGCAGCGAGTGTCATAGGCGTTCAGAGGTGGCAGCCAGCCCACCAGGCTGTGAACCCCCAGAACTTCCCTTCCCAGCTGTGGGCTTCACCCACCCAGGCCCCGCGTCCCCTCCCTCCCCACTGCCAGCCTGGGGGGCAGGCAGACCCCAAATCCTTCCCAGCCAAGAACTGGCAACCTCGCAGTCGTGCTGGGAAGCCGACAGGGGTGATGTGCTGTGCACAGCTCAGCTGGCACTTGACTGCAGAGCCGCAGGGCACAGCGACTCTACTGAGAGCCCACAGCCACTCGCTCGCAGGAGCCCAGGTCTGCATCCTGTCCTGCCCACTTCCATCCCATCTCGGCAGCTGGCCACAGGCCCGTTCCTCCCTGGAGAACCATCCCCACTGTCAGGGCCCCAAGCTGAGCTGGGGAGCTGAGAACAGACCAGAAGAGCGAGGAGAGGCTCCTGCCAGGGTGGGACAGTACGCTGGGTCAGCGGGGCCCCGGAGCCCCAGCAGGGACCCCGGGCCTGCCCAGCCCTACCTGCCCTTCTCCATGTTTTATACTTGGAGGCTGGCCAGTCAACTCCACAGCTACCCCAAAACTGAACGAGGGTTTGAAACACAAAATGTATAAAGGACACAAAATACTGATTTAAGTTTATTGCTTCTAAGACCCATGTCCTTTAACCTATTTTCCAAGAAAGAACAAATCGTGGGTGCTGAGGGCCACACCTTTGTGAGTCCTGCCGGGCCCCACCACCCAGCCTTTAACCAGTTCCTCCCGGCGGCCAACTCCAGGGTGAGCCCCTCTTCCTTGGGTCCCTGTTTGGCCCCCACTGGCCGCCTCCCCTGCTGCACAAAGGCCTGAACAGAACCAGGAAGGGCCCCTCAAGGACGGTGTGGTGGACAAATCGCACTCTTCCCCATCATGCTGAGCGGTTTCTAATGGCGTGAGGGGCACGCCACTCCCACAGAAGAACGGGCACGTGTACAAAGGCACGCGCCTTCTCTGGCCACAGGGCAGGACAGGAGAGATGGGAGACATGAGAGGAGAGCAGCCTCCCGTGTACGCTGGAGATGAAGATGACAAGGTGCTGGCGTCTGGTGTCCACGCAGTCACCAGTGCCCGGTGCCCCCCTGCCCCACCGCCAGTCCCTTTCATGGTCAAGGGGCCACCAGCACGTGTGCCCCCACCTCTTTCATCCCAGCACCTTCACTGGAGCCGGTGTGGGCCAGGCCTCAGAGGTACCAGACAGGTATCTGACTTCTGCCCAGTGACACACATAAATAGCCATAAATTAATCCCTAACCAGCTGCACTTCACGCCATCAGGGACAAAGGCTGGCTAGGCACCCACAGCAGGTCTGGTCACCACTCCGGACACACGCTGCCCCAACTGTCACAGCACACAGTGCCTCTTCGGCTCACAGTGAGAGGTCGGCCAAGTGCACGCCGCTCAGGGAATGGCCATCATGAGGAAGAGCAAACCTTACACAATCAAACACGCCAACTGCCAGTGTTCAGGTGATAAATGTTTCTAATTAGCAGCAGAAGATGTTTATAGAAAAAATATACTTTTAAGAAAATAGCTGAAAAAGTCTAAAGAGATAAAGTATAAAAAGTTTAAAAAATATATCTTAAGCCAAAATATTGCCCAACACATATAAAACTTAATTTTTAAAAAATGCACCTATCTAACGTTGGAGGAGGCTCAGGCAGCTGGCGGCCCGTCCTCCTCGAGCTGTGGGGCTCAGACAGGAGAGGCCCGGCCAGCCCCAGGTGACCAGCCTGCAGGAAATGGCTCTGTTCCCGCACGTTCTTGTAGTCACCAGGCAGCAGGGCTGGTCTGGTGGACCGATAGGGGACGGCCGTGACCCCACGGCCTACGCAGCAGGCTCAGGTCTCCACCAGGATCTCCACCACGTGGTCCAGCTCGCCCAGGTCCCGCTTGCAGCTGACGCTGGGGGGTGGGGCTCCCGCGGGCGCCAAGGCCTGGAGCCCATCGCCCGGGCCTGACTTGCCACCCACCATGCCTGTCAGCACGGCGTCCAGGTCGTAGTAGGGGCCTTCTGCATCCGCAAACAGCCCTTCCACTGGGCTGGGGGCTCTGCTCTCCAGGGTCTCGAATATCTGACCCAGGGATTTCGGAAAGCTCCCTCGGTGCACACGGGAGCTCTCCGCCTCCCAGATGCAGCTCTGTGCGCTCCCGGGCGCGGCCAGGGCCCCGGACAGCTCCGAGGGCAGGTCAGGCGTCGGGCGCTGCCCCTGCTGCTCCCAGGCTGCGTGGCACAGGATTTTAGTGGAGACCAGGCGGTCTAAGGGCCCCCGCCCGGCCTCTGGGGGTGCCGGGAGCCGCCAGGCTCCATCCTGGGTCATCTCTTCCTGAATCTGCCGGACCGTATTGGCGATGAGGACCGAGCGGCAAAGGTTGGGCTCAACTAGCGTGTGGCACAGCTGCAGCTTGACCAGAGACATGTCCAGGAGCGACTGCCGCTGCAGGCTGTAGGACGGCACGGCCAGCGAGCCCTCCACGTCCTCCTCGCTGTCCCAGCACTTCCTCTTCAACCCTCGGGCGAACATGGTGTCCTGCGGACATGGAGGAAGACACCCTTTAGCACTGTCCGAGCCCCTCGCGGACCCGCCCCAGGCCTCGGAGAAACAGCGGAGCGCGGGTCACTGGGTGCGGGTCCTTCGTTCACCCACAGCCCCTTGGACTGAAAGTGGGCGCGAACCACACCCGCCTCAACCGAGCACAAGTCTCCATCCGCAAAGATAAGTGGACTGAAAACGGGAGGAAGAGGTTCTGAGCACTGAGCCGAGAACCTTCATCACAGCCCCTGGGCTGGTGCCAGAGTGGGAGGGTTTGGGAATCACAATGACCACCAGCCCAGCAGGGCCAGGGACCACCCGAGCACGGCATGCTGCCAAGGACCCGACAGACGGGCTGCGGGTCCTGGATGCTCAGGGTCGCCCGCCGCGGATGTGCTCGGAGAAGCGGAGACCGGAGGACCTGCACCCCCGCCACTCCGCTGAGGGGCGGGGCCTCCGGGCCGGGGCTGCCCCTTCTAGGAAAGCCAGGCCTCCCAGCTACACTGCTTCTCCCTTCTCAGGTGTGTAAAATAGCCAGACATTTTTGTTTCAAATAAATCATTCAAGGTATTCATCTTTAATATGCAAATTTTTGGAGTTCTGTATTTGCTTTGTATAAACACCAATCCTGCGGCCCCCATGGACGGTGCTGGAGGGCGAACTAGCCAGGGCCCCGCCTCCCCCAGGAGCCCTGCGCCTGCCTGCCCGCCCCATCCTCAGACAGAAAAAGGCTCACCTCCATGTATGTAACATTGTCAAAACCTGGGCATTTCTCCCCAGGAATGAAAACCAACGTGCACGCAAAACCCTGTACCATCTGCCCTTAGGGCCGGGCCCACCCCCACCCGGCAGGGCCAGTGCACCAGGCGCCTGCACCGCCCTCAGGGAAACCGCGGTGCTCACTGACCCCATCCCTGAGACCTTGTGGGAGAAGCGGGCTAGGCGTGCACAGGACTGGACGGCAGTGGCCAACCTAAGGGCACAGAACCTCCCGTGTGCACACCACACACACCATGTGATTCAGCGCTGTGGCCAGCATGGGAAGGGTGACCTTCCTGGTATTTCTTTGCCACTTCCTGTGGATCGATAATTATTTGGAAGTAAAAAATTAAAAAAACTGACCCCAGCCTCTTCCCCTACAGGACGAACTTCCCCAGAACCACAGGCGGGTCTAACTTGCCAACACCACCCGCCACCTCTGCCCACACGCCCCCCACACCAGCGCAGACCGCCCGTCCAGAAGTGAGCAGTGCCACCAAAACACACAAAATGTCCCAACCGCTTCTGGGAACAGAGTCCCAAGTTTTCTGCCTCAGCAAATCCGACTCCCGCGGCAACTTGTTCAGAAGGCGTCGGCTCGGCGCTGCCAAGCACGGGGTGGGCAGGGCGGACTTCCAGCGGTGAGGGCAGGACCCGAGTGCATGCTTGTTATTGTTGATCCGTTGTGGGATCTTCCACACGAACCACTGTGCACCCGCGTCCACCCCGCCTGCACTCTGAGTGTGTGATTGTGCTGAGCTATAAAAAGCCGTCCTGTGTTGAGGACGAAGATGAAGTTCCAAGGGTTCCGAGGCGTCACTGCTGCTCCTTCGCTGTGAGTGGTGTTTCCAACAAAACCAAAGACCCCCACCCAGCCCAACGACCCACTGCACCCAGGGTCCTGACCAAACTCACTGCAACAGCCTTAGTCCCTTGCTCCCCAGCAGGTCCAAGGGTCTCTGCAGATCAGGGAGCCACGAGGGGCTGCTCGCCTGGGCAGACCTGCGGGGAGTCAGACCTCTGTCCCCGCCATCGCCCGGAAGCCAACCACTCCCTCTACACCCCCATGTCCACCAGGACCCACCGGAGAAAGCCAGGTGTCCCCCGGCACTCACACACACGGGCCACCGCTTCCCCAGGCCCCCAGTGCCCTGAGTGCTCCCCTCCCCCCCCCAGTCTGGCCGGAGCAGGTGTGGGGACCACGGGGCAGTCCCCAGTAAGCTGCCTTCCCTTCCTCTGCCCCTGCCCTCGCTGTGACCCCAGGAAGACCAGGAAGTGCAGTACAAGGCCCGCGTCTCCCAGGCTCCCACCTGCACCGACTCTGAGCACCTTCTGGTCTGTGCAGCCGGCCTCATGCAGGTTCTGCTTTCTTTGTTGGCCACTGTCCTTGTCACAGACAAACTCCAGTTCTGACAGTTGCTCATTTATCCCAACATACAAACATGGTCCCGGGACCCTCACACAGGGTGCTCCACCACTCACCCCCTCCCCTGCTACAGGGACAGGGGCTCTGACTTGGGCCAGTCTGGGGCCCCAACACTGGCCCCTGGAGCATCTCCCTGGAGGGAGGGCGGCGCAGTGAATCCAATCTGGCCGCTGCAGGGGAAGGTGGACCACTCACCTCGGTGAGGTTCTTCTGTACCGAACGCCCTTTAGGATAACCCAGCACCACAGGTGCCCCCCCTGCTCCCACAGGCCCCTCCCAGAGCTCCCTGGGCCTCTCCGTCCGCCTGTTTCCCACCAGAGGGCGTGGGTAAATGGTGCTCTACTAGACCCTACCGCCAACTCAGCCACCACTAGATGCACCCAAAAACGTGCTCAGTAAAAAAGCAAGAACAAATGCAGGTGCCACAGGACTCCACACGACCTGTGGGAGTGGGCAGCTGACCTTGGCAAGGGTGTGACAGCCCCGCAAGGCAGAGAGCTGACTGGGCGACCCCACTGGGCCCCAGGAGCTGTGCTCCGGCATCTGCCCAGTTCAGGCCCTACACGGTGCCGAGGAACAGAGACTTGGGTGGAGCCTGCCTTCTCCCGACACCCTCAGGCCCGGCCCCATGACCCACCAGGGCCCACCCTGGCTCCGGGCCAGACCCGGGAGGAGGGCCTGCTCAGTGGCTCCTTCGCGCTCCTCCCCAACACCACGCACCCTCAGCAGCTGCTTGGTTGTCAAGTCAGCAAGTGCCACTGACCGACGACTCAGCCTGTCCAAGCCTATGAGCGCAAGTACGTGTGGTCACCAGAGCCCGCCTTCCAGTAACGCGGTCAGGCTGAACCCAGAAGGGGGCTGGTGAGAACCGTCCTCCTCACACACCCGTATCTGGGGAGTCGGCAGGTGCCCGTGCAGAGCCCTCCCCGGGCTCCACACCCGTCTGGCAGGGGGTGTCCGGGCCTCTCACCCCCAGGCAGGCCGCCTGCAGAGCCCCAGCTGGGGGAAAGTTATGAACACACCATGTTAGGCATCGCCCACCTCCATTTTCTCCGACGGCGCTGGCCGGGTCTTGCTGCGCACCTAGTAAACGCCAGATTCCTACTTGGAACCTCCCTGGTCAACAGCACTGCCCTTAGGCAACCTCCAGACCACACGCTGACCAGTCAGAAGAAAAGGAGGAGGGACCAAGATCCGGGGGGGCGGAGCCACCGGGGCCCAGCGGGCTCACCCGGAGCACCTTGCCTCCCAGGCAGGGCGCACGCAGGCCCACCACACCACGAGGCAGGGGTGAGGCTGGAGGAGGCTCAGACCCCCAGATTCTGAGCAGTAGGACCGGGCGGGCTCCGACCCAGCTGCTTCCCAAGACCTTCGGCCCTGCTAGGCACCCTGTGAGCCTTGGGTTTTTAAGCCAACTCAACATTCGTAGCTTGTCACATGATCAGGTTAGCTGTGAAGTAGTCAGAGCACTGCAGGCAACAGAGACTGTGGTGTCCATGTTGGGGGGGTAGGGTGGGCGCCAGGCCGCTCGGGGTCTGACATTTCTCACAAACTGCTGCTACAGAGCGAACATCAGGCACTTCTGTGACCTGGAATGAAATACACAGACTTTCTTTGCCTGGAAACTTGGTCCAATAACAAGACGAAGGAACCTCCCTGCCCTCTTTCCAAGCTAAAACCTGCAGAGGTCATCCCCAACATTTCGTTTTGAATTTGAACTTTAATGTGAAAACATGGCAAAACTTGAACACAAAGCAGCTGTATGTAGGAAGCTGATGGAAGTGCACTTAGCATTTTTCTCAGCTGGTCTTAACAGTGGACGGGGTCCTGGGCCTGAGCAAGCGGCACACAGGCCACTGGCCGAGGAAACTCAGCTGGAAGCGCTACCAGGACCACAGCTCTCCCGGTCAGCTGTTACCTGGGGATCCTAGTTTGGGGACAATGAGCTTTTGCAAATGTGGAGCTAAGCTGTCCTCCACGTTGTAGAAGCAAGTTCCTGGTACTTTTCCCAGTCACAGCTCCGCGCCCCCCTGGCTGACTGTGTCGGCCGGGAGGCAGCACCAGGAACCCACCGCAGACAACTCTCTCGCCAGCCAGAGTCTGGGACTGTCCCGTCCACCCCACCCCCCTTGGTCAGTCTCCACCAGACTGGGAAGCTTAAAGGAGGCGGCACAGGAAGCAGGCAGAGTGCTAGCTTTAGACCCCCCGAGGCCAGCAGCACTGGGCCCTCCCTGACCGGCGAGAGGGAAATCAGACATAGTACAGTTTGGCGCAGGGAAACCATCGCCAAATATCCTTGGTATTCCTCTACAAAGTAGTTAAAACCAAGAAACAAAGGGGAAGAAAGCAAACTGAACACTACAGGGGGTCACCCTGCTCTCCCCAGCCTCAGAGGAAGGTGTCTCTTGGCTGGGCTGCTAAGGAAGGCATTAAATCTCCAGCAAAACCGCGTTTTGCTAAAAGGGCCTAAAATGAAATTCAAGTGTCCCATCACTGACATCCACCACCCACTCCCCATTTTGCAAGGATTGCAGATTATGAAGGAAATCTAGAATCACAGCCAATGGTAGATAACCACAGGTGTGTGGAAGGGCAGGGGTATGGGTAAGAGGAAGGGTGGGTGACTGAATGGGGGGAGGAGGAGGAGGTGAGTGAGAGAGGAGGTGGGGCAGCCACAAGCCCTCTAGTCAGAGCCGTACATCTAAGTCAGCTGGACAAGAGCCTGCCCCAGAGTCCCCGCAGGGCTTGCAGGAGCGTCTCCTGGGGACCAGGAGAAGGAGCCGGAACTGACCTTTTCCACGTCGCAGGGAGAAGGGAGGATGGGGGCACCGCTCCGGACGCCGGCACAGCACGAGCCGCCCACCCTACCCATTTTAAGTACTTCTCGGATCAACAAGAGCCCCGGGGTAGGTTAAGACCACGCAGGAGTTGTGGCTCCGGATTAAGAGGGTGCGGGACAGCGAAAATCGAGGCTGTGGCAACACCGGCGGGAATCCAGGAGGCTGACGACCGGAGGGACAGGCGGGGGCCGCAGAGTCGCGCCCCTCCGCTGAGGGCCCGCCTGCCCCGCCCCAGCCCCCGACCCCCAGGACCCTCGGGTCGCCCTCGTGTTGACTCCCCGCCACCCCCGGGCCCCAGTCCCCAAAGCGACGAGGGCCGCCGAGGCAGAGGAACCGAGAGCCAGAACCCAACGCTCACCTGGCCGCCCGCCGTCCACGCCACCGCACGCCGCCGGGGGGAGGGGCGGGGCTGGGGCGGGGCTGCTCCGCTCCTACAAAGGGTTGCCGGGCGCACACCGCCCCGCCCGCGGATTGGCTGAGCTTGGAGGCGAGGCTTCTGGTTCAAACCAGGGGCGGGGCCTGCCTCTCCAGTTCCCGCGCGGCCGCGCTGGCCGTTGGGCCCGCGCGCTCCACTGCCCCGCCCCAGGCAGCTCCCAGGTCTCCGTGCGCTGCCCGAGTGCGCCTGCGTCGGCCACCCCGGGGCGGGATGGGGATGCAGACGGGAGAGGAGCGGGCTAGGGCCAAAGGAAGCCAGGGGCAAGGGGTAAAGGAGGGGCGGGGGTGGGGCAGGACAGCAGCCTCCTGGACAGCCCGGGTCACCACGGGGGGCCTCCAATGAAACCGTAAAAGTGAAAAGTGGGGAAAGTGTTTTTTTTCTTTAAATTTCTTGGTGGAAAAGGCCTTAAATAGGACAGAAAATCCTGAGTGCATTAATCCAAGTAACATTTCTGAGTGCTGGTGAGGATTGTCCTGTGTCCTGTGCTGGGGGCTGAGAACATGATCATGTAAGCATCGAGGAGGCACCCCAGGGACGGAAGGAAGAGAAGTGGGAGCCTAGGGGCGTCAGCTGGGGAAGGTGAAGCACGACAGTGCAGGGCATAGTCTAAGCGGGGTGAGGGCCTGGGCTCCCGTCCCCAAGAGGCCGACCCCGCAGGGCTGCTGGGAGGGGGGAGGCGGGGTCCTGAGATAGGCTTCAAAAGGCTCACTGTTGAGGGTAGAGTGGGGGCCCGGGCTGGGAGGAAGGTCCAAGTAGGTCGCAGTCCTGGGGTGAAAGACGACTGTGACAAATGTGAGGACATACAGGTGTAAAAGGTGGGTGTGTTCCTAAGCACATGCCACGCAAAAGATTAAATTCCTTAATGCACATATATTCGGTAAATAAAGACAAGATCACAAGCCAGGAGAGCCTGGGCGAAGGATGTTAACACAGCTCAGAGCAGAAGAGAAAATGCCCTTGAGCTGCTGGGAAGCAGGTCGGAACCACGTGGTCGGCGGGCGGGCTTCGCAAGCTGTCAGACCCACAACACCGAAGAGGCGGTTTGCTCCAGAGCCAGCACTGTTTCTCACCCACAGTGTCCAGCATGAAGTTTAAACTTAACAGGAGTACTGGGACACAGGAACAAAAATGTCCAAAAAATAAACAAACAAGGGGTAAAAACCCAGATAACAGAAATGGACTCAGGGGTGGCCCCAATATAAGAGTTACCGGGTTTTTAGAAATAGTAACTGTTGTGATCAAGAAACTTAATGACAAGGAGAACTGGAATCTGTTAAAAAGACTGGAACAGGCGCAACAGCACTCACTTTACCCAGAGCCTGGGGAGGGCAGGAAGAACTCTCCCAGCTAGTTCTCAGGGGCCCACAGAGCCTCCGCATGAACCCCTCAGTCAGAAGGTGACGGGAAAGAAAAGCTACAGGCTCGCCCCTCTCACAGCCAGTCTTTAAAATTCCATACGAAACCCTAGCACATCAAACCCAGTGACGTATTGAGAGAGAGAACATCTCACACAAAGCTGGGTTCATTCCAGGAACGGGCAGTCGGTTTCCCATTTTGACCAACCAACGGAATTCATCAAAGTAGTAAAACAAGGGAGCAGGCACCGGAAAAGCTCAGTGGGTGGAGAAGACTCGCCCGATAAGACTCAACACGCGTTTGTGATACAGGTTAGGAAGCCAAACACACAGGTGTGATGTGAGGGCCAGCCGGCAAAGGCACTGTCACTGCAGATGCCCACTGGGAGCAGGGGAGTCACCAAAACCGGTCAGCGCCAAAAATGCACTGGAAGGGCCCTGGAAGGTTGCTAAGAAGAGACACACACCGTCACAGTTTATCACCATGAAAGCAACAAGATTAAAGTCAGCCAGGGGAGAGGCACACGGGGCAGGTCCAGGCAGGCTCCAAGGACAGGGCTTCCACCCTGGGTGGCCCGGGCTCGCCCCAGAGCACATCTTAGACTGTTAGACTGTGTGGTGTGGCCCCCGTGCCCCAGCGAACAGACACTACTAACAGGTAGGGAGTCCCAGGCACTTCAACATCACCTCTCAGGACCCCGAGGGCTAGCGCCAGACTTGTCCTTGGGCGGGAAATCACTTCTTTACTGTGCAGCAAGGGAACTCCCTTTGGTTCAGTAAAGTGTATTTACAAAAAGTTGTAGAATGTGTGGATGAAAAGGGGCCATGCACCAAATATGACAAGCCCAGGGAGGCCAGCATGGGCCGGCCTGACAAACTCAGAGACAAAACTAGCCACATAGGACGGTCTGAACAAAAGATTTCCCAGCTGCAAGTGGGTCATGGCAGGTAGTCATGTCCTAGGCCAGTAGCTTCCTTGACAAAGGTCAGTTTTTACCTTAACTGAGCCAGTCAGTCCTCTTTCAGATCTAGGATAACATACCTTTGAAATGTCAGCCAGATCTCCTTTTCCAGCCCCCCCCCCACCTGCCTGCTCCAGAGCCCAGAGCCCTCCCTAGTATCCTCTCCCCTCCCCTCCCTACACCATCTCCATGGGCTGTGTTAACCAGCCTGTACTGAGTTAGCCCACCATTATAAAAGAAATAGATGCATCTTCATTTTGCTTCTTATCTAATCCCAGAGATTCCCCCGCTTTGCTTTCTCCTGTCCCCTAATCTATCACCCATGGATTCCTATGACCCCCCTCCCCGCTTATGTCTCCTCCTTTGATTCTAATGTATAAAATAAGGTGCAAAACTGCAATTCTCAGGAGCATTTTCTCAATCCGTTGAGATTTTGCTTCTCAATGACTGTCATTACTTTGGCTCAAATAAACTCATAAAAACTCTGCCAGTTAACACATCTCCTACATGGGCAAGTGCACAGAAAAATGGCATGAATTCGAGCGCTCCGTTCTGTGACGGGAACGAGAGCAAGGTGCGTCTGCGCCCGCACTGCCTCCAGACCGTGTGCCGTACTGACTGGTGCGGGCCAGGAGGCAAGAAAAAGAAGCAACAGGCATATGACCTGAGAAGAATTAAAATCATTCTTTCCAGAGAGAAGGTGTGGAATATAGAAACGCAAGGACTCTCGTCCCAACCAGCTCAGGCACCTCCACAGAATTCCACAGAGGGCCACTGACACTCATTTCCTGCAGTTGTGTCCATGGGGCTGGGCTGCGGGGGAGCTCTGTCCTCCAGACTTGCAGATGGTAGAGGGGAGACAGATGGCCCCTCCTCTTCTTTCTGGGGCCCCATCCGGTTAGATTAGCACCCACTCTTATGGCCTCATTCAACCTTAACCACCTCCTGAAAGCCCCGACCTCAAAGATCCTCACACTGGGGCCAGGGCTTCAGTGTATGAATTTGAAGGGCACCAAGTTTAGTGCATAGCAAATTTTCAGATAAATAAATTAGATTAATAAAGAATTCAGCGTGAGCATCAGATAAACAGATAATACAGAAAAACCAATTATATTTCTAATATGCAGGTCACAAATCTTTTTTCTATTTAAAAAAAGTTTTTAGTGATACTGTTTGCAGAGCATCAAGACACCAGCCATTTCGGGGGGCGGGAGGGGGGGATCCAACAGCAAACAGGCCAGACCTGAATGAGGAAAAGCACAGGTCAGTGGGGAGAGAAACCAATGGCCGGCTCTCTGCACATGAGGATACTCCAAGTGCTCAGAATAGAAGACGCCCCATCACGAAGGTGTCAGCTATCTCCAGACTTCTACCTTCGCAGCCACTGCAGCGGCCATCAGCCCCGGAACCTGTCTTCGTGGACACTGAAAAGTTAGTTCTGAAATGTACGGGGAAATGCAAAGAGCAAAGAAGAGCCCAGACAGCCTTGGAGAAGGTCATCAAAACTCAACTTTGGGACCAGCTTCGGAGGCCCGCATAGCAGGCGCCCACAGCCTGGGACTCACCACCCCTGCTCCCAGGGACGCGCCGCCCAAGTGCCTGCACACGTTCCCAGAAGACCGGCACCAGGGGGTTTACAGCAGGGCCACCCATGAGAGCCCCGGCCTGCAAACACCCCAGAGCCCCCACGGGCCAAAGGGCAGGCCCGCAGGAGCTTTGGGCTGCAGTCTGGGGGCAGAGATCTGATGTGCCTATTTTAAAAACAGCTTCATTGAGAAGTACCCTGGACACCCACCCTTTGCAGCACACAAGTCACGTTTTCAGGGGTTCAGAGGCCCACAGCCACCGCCACAGCACGTTCAGGACTTTCCATCACCCGGGGAAAGAACCCTGTGCCCTTAGCTGTTGCCGGCCATCGCCCCCCCCCCCAGTCCCCAACCCCTGGCAACCGATGATCACTTTCGGTCTCCATAGACTCCCCTGCTCCGCACACCGCGCAGACTGGGAATCCTAGTGACGGTGTCCTCTGCGTCCGTCCGGGATCTCTCGCGCAGCGCTGGGCTTTGAGGTTCCTGCACGTCCTGGAGTGTCCCTGTTGCATTCACAGCTGGGTAGACAACTGGGCGGTCGGGACACTGTGAGCTTGCGCGTGTGCTTTCCCTCTCTAGGGCGGACCCTAGGAGTAGGACCAATGGTCCTAGGGTAACGCCATTTTGGGTCGCCTGGGAAACCCGGGACTATTTACCGTAGCCACGGCCCCACCTTACACCCCCCAGCCTCGTGGCCCGGTTATCACAGTGTCTGAATTTACAGTGCCGCCATCCAAGTGAAACGTGCACGGGCAACTGCGTGGCGGGTGAGTAGCAGGGAGCTGGTGTGAGCTCCACGCCGTGTGGGAAGGCGGGCTGCCCCTGTGCCCTGGTCCCCGTCCCACCCAGAAGCGGGTTCCGGGCTCCCTTCCCACGCTCCCACACTGATGCCCACCTTGCCGCCCACCCTGCCCCGCGGGCCCTGGGGGTTGGCACTGAGGCCAGGCTCTGCCTGGTGTCACTGTCACCAGAGGCATAGCCGTCTGTGTCACCGGGCTCACGATTCTCAGACGCAGCCCGGAGCCGGGGCTCATAGGTGAGTGGCCGGGGAATGGGCCCAGCTGCGCAGCCCTGAGTGCAGCAGCGGGACGGGGCTCCGGCGGGAATGCTGCCCCCTGGCGGCCGCAACAGACACTTGGGGGTGCTCCGGGCTGCACAGCACCCTCTAGGGGCCACCAGGGGTGGTGGGCGGGACACACGGCCTGTGAAGCTGCACCAGGGTCTTTCTTCTGAGCAGCCCTCTGTATCCGGCTGGGCTTGGGCCCGGGATGCGCGTGGTCTCTGAGAGTGGTCTCTGCAGCCGTGCAGGCGGGAACGGTGGCTGTTCTCAAGTCACAGGATAAGAAACCGAGGCACGGAGGGCAGAGTTCGCCTCTCCGGCAGCAGCTGTCCTGGGGCTGTGGGCAGCCGGCCGCTTCCTCAGTGGGACCGGGCACTCCGACTGGCGTCCATACCTGCAGCGCCCGGGGGAGTGGCGTGAGCCTGGCAGGGGCTGCCCTGCCCAAGGTGTGCAGGTGTAGTGGCAGGTAGGAAGCTGGAGCGTGTCTGGTGGAGAGCCCCTTAGTTTGCTCGGAAGCTTGGTAAACGTGTGGACGTGTGTGAGTGCTCACAGTGTCACCGGGCGCCTGAGAGTGTCCCCATCTGTCCACACACTGTGATTCGGGGAACATCAAAGAGACTGCTCAGGCACAGGTCCTGTCCAGGGAGCTGGTGGCCCTGAATAAACTGGGGGTGTCCTGTCCCCCAGGTCCCCCCCACCAGGGGACACACCTGTGGGAAGAGCTGGGCATGTAGGACCGTGGGCTTCAGGTGGCAGGGACCCCTGGGGGCTCTCAGGGCTCCCTCATGGGCTCCCACCTCCCTGCAGGCAGCTCACCACTTCCAGGGTCTGCTCCCCACTCTGGGTCACCATGGGGAGGGGCAGATGTCAGAGGCAGGAGGGAGTGAGCTAGCCAGTGAGTGAGGGAGGGAGTGAATTAATGGTGAAGACAGGAGAGAACCGGTGAGTGAGGGATGGAGGGCGGGGGAAGCTCCCCAACGTGGGCCACCAAGTTTCCATACACAACGTGAGTCAGAGGAAAAGGCCAAAGGTTTAAGGTCAGGGGCTGCAGCACAGTCACCATATGGTTGACGTGAACCGTGGCAGTGGGGGTTGGGGGGCGTGCACACAAAGAGGTACGGATGCGACACTTATTATATTAACCCGTGCCCCCCAAGACGACTGCATTTAAATAAACAAGTAAGTAAATGGAAGAGAGTGAGGCACAGAGGAGGCGGCATAGTAGGGCAGCAGCGCCAAGGCCAGGAGTGCGCTGGCTCCACCTCCACCGGCACCTCTGGGAGGAACCAGCCCCTCCTCATCCGGATCCGGGGCCTCCTGCTGCTGCCCAGCTCACTGCGAAGCTGCCCAGTGTGGGGGGGTCAGTTAGAGCAGCCCCGGGAAACACACGTCACCCACCATGGGGACGCATGTGGTCCCCACGCTGTCTTCACACTCCCCAGAGGCTGTTCAAGAAGCCCCGCTTGTCACTGTAAGAGCCCAGGGCGCATGCGCCAACCATCCCCCGAACCCCGCACCCACCTGTCCGAGAGGGAGACACCTACCGGAAAAGCTAAAATGACACTATTTCACTTAAAGAGGATGTTGGCACTGACACGTATTTGTTGCATTTTTATTTCTAAACACATTTTCTAAATGTTTTCTCAATGCCTCTCCCAGCGGGAACGACCGTCAGCGGACACCTTGCAGAAACAACAGTGAAACTGAGCACGGAGCCCGCACAGCTTCCCGGGAGACAACGGCCCCCCGCAAACGGGCCTAGGAGCCTGGACCCCGTCCCTGGCGGCTGTCTCCGTCTCTGTGCTGCCAGCTCTGGGGGCGCCTGAGACTTAGTGCATCAGCCCCAGGCCCTGACCGGGCCCTGCTGCAGATGGGAAACTGAAGCAGTGGTGTGACGGGCCCAGAAGGGGCTTCTCAGGGGCGGAGCCTGTGCGGTTTCCAGGGAGCCCAGGGCAATACAGCACCCAGCAATCCCAGCTCCCCGCTCTGTGGGAGACTTGGTGAGGGGTTGGAGGCCTTCGGGTTGTCATCTGCTTGCCCCTGATTTGCCCCATCCCAGCCCTTGGCAGGCCTCTCCCCTGACAATGCATCCAGGAAGCCTTGAAGCCAAAGCATTCCAAACATCTCTGAGCCTCTTGCACAGCTGCCCCATTCCTGGAATCCACCACCACCGTTTCTGGACAACCAGAGCATGGAGAGGGGCGCCCTCCAGAGGCATGTGACCCCACCCCCTGCTCACCTGAGGGTCCACAGCCACCAGGGCTTCAGACCTGCTCAGCACAGAGGGCCCCAGGGCTGGCTCCTGCCCCCAGAAGTCCCAGGTGTCCCCACCCACCCGTGACCAGGCACTGCAGGAAGGTGCCTGGCTTGCACAGCCCACAGTGCCCTCCTGTCCTCTCGCAGCCCCCAGAAAAGCACAGAAATAAAGCCATCACTGTGGATGCTGACTGGGCACCTCCCCCGTGCAAGGCGTGTGCCAGCTGCCACAGCCCCAGGCAGGCACGTGGCCTCTGCCAAATGCCCTGCTGTTTGCTAACAGCCGAGCGAGCCAGCCAGAACCAGGCAGGGATGCAGAGGCCCTCCGGCCTGCCACGCCCCGTGTGGGCCTCCGAGCCCTGGCACGCTGCCACCTGCCCCGCGGGGCCCTGTGGGAAAGCTGGGGGACTGGGCCTGAGGGGCCTCGGCTCACAGGCCGCATGGTGCCAGGAAGGAGAAATCAGTGGCGCAGGCCTGGCAGGTGTGACTCAGTGCGTTGGGCACCACTCTGTGGACCGAGGGGCCACCAGTTTGATTCCTGTTGGGGCACATGCCTGGGTGGCAGGCCAGGTCTCCGGGTGGGGTGTGCAAGGGGCAACCGATCGATGTTTCTCTCCCCCTCTCTCTCCTTCCCCTGTCTCTAAAAATAAATAAATAAATAATCTTTAAAAAAATAAAAAAGAAATCAGTGGCATCGTGCAGAGGGAGCTGCATAGCCAGGGTCAGGAATGCTGGCTGATGGGCTCAAGGGGGGGGGGGGGGGGCGCCACACAGCTGGCCCTGGGCTTCCAGGCTGGCCGGCCTGCCCTGTGGGACACGGGGCTCAGCAGGACCCCTCGCTCAGCCGCTCCAGGGTGCCCAGTGGGGCCCACGTGCCCGGCTGTGACCCAGGGGGCTGGACAGGCCTGGGGAACTGGCAGCTGTTTATGAGCAGCGTGGGCAACTGCGCCTCCTCCGAGTCCTTTGACCACGTGCTCTTGGTGACCTCTGTCTTGGTGGACCACTTTTGCCACCTGCTGCAGATTCTGGACACCTCCTGCCGCGAGTTGTCTGTGGCTAGCACGTAGATGATGGGGTCGGCCACACTGTTCACCGTGGCCAGGCACAGGCACACGATGGAGGCCGTGTACACCTGGCATTCCAAGGTGCACATGGGGCCCTCCTCGCCCCTGTGGTAGGAGAAGGCGGCAGCCTTGGCGAGCAGCACCAGGTGGTAGGGCGCAAAGCAGGCCAGGAAGATGACCACGACCGCAAGGACCGTGCGCCTCACCCGGGCCTTCTGGGCGGCTCCCAGGCCCGCGCTCTGCTTGATGCCCCTGAAGATGCCGTGGTTGGTGAAGATGATGATGGCCAGTGGCAGGGCGAACCCCATGGCGAACCGCGAGTAGAAGTAGTTGGCGACCGTGCCGTCCATAGGCAAGACCTCGAAGCAGGTGCGCTCCGGGAGCTGCATGGTGAACACCGGGTAGTGAGCCAGCCCCACGAGGAGGAAGATGAAGGCGGACACCAGCACGGCGGTCCTCTGGCGGCGGTGGCCGCGGCTCTCCAGCGCATAGGCCACAGCCACATAGCGGTCACAGGAGATGCAGCACAGGAAGAGGATGCTGACATACAGGTTGCAGAAGAAGATGTAGGCAGTCACCTTGCAGGCCCACTCCCCCAGGTCCCAGCAGTGCCCGTTCTGGACGTAGATGACCCAGAGCGGCAGGGTGCTGGCGTAGAGCAGCTCACAGAGCGCCAGGCAGAACAGGTAGACGGCCAACACGCTGCCCTGCAGCGCCTGCAGCAGCGTCAGCCCGGCCGTCAGGCAGTTGGCCGGCAGCCCCAGCACGCACACGGCGCTGTAGACCACCACCAGGGACACCCGGCTCTCCTCGAACGGCATGAAGCAGAGCGCGGTCCTGTTTCCCGTGGGCACGCTGCAGTTGCCTGGGAGACAGAGACGCGTGAGGGCGGCCGGAAGAGACTTTCCAGAGGCGCTGAGAAACGCCAAGGCTCATGGTGGCTCCAGGCTGGACACACCAGGAGCTTATGGTCCTGATCAGGTTTCTCCTCCTCGAGGTGACACCTCGACCTGCAACCTGCCACCGAATGTGTTGAGGAGAGAGGCTGTGGACTGCCCCGCACCCAGGCCCCAGGCCCCAGGCCCAAGGATCGCCCAGGTCCCTGTTCAAAGGGGCTGTTTGGGGAAGAAAGCTGTTCTCTAACTGCCGATGGAGCCTTTTCCATACCAGGTCTCTGCAGACTCCATGGCGTCTCTGGGGAGACTCCGGCGGGAGAGGGGACACCCATCTCTGTCCCGGTCCACCCCCTGCTGCACAGCCCTCTCAGCCTCTCCACCCCCATCTCAGAGCCTGTGCCCACCCTGCCCACGTGCAGCACTGGCTCCATCCCAGGGCTGACTGTGTCACCAGCCCAGGGACGGTCCCACACCCTGGAAGGTAGCAGGGGCAGCAGCCCCAAACACAGACACAGGCCCAGCTGTCCACCTGTGGGAACAACCTGGACTTCCCCACCCCCACCGCCCACGAGCACTGCCCCCTCTGCAGTGGCCACCGGGCTCTTGGTGCCGCTCAGCGCAGGACACCTGCCCAGGGCCACAGAGGGCCGGCACACGGTCTCAGGTCTGTACTGTCCCTTCTCTGCGCCATGCTGGGTGACCAGCCCCGGGTGTGTGGGCGGGCACCTGCCCACAGCCCCACAGGTGACCTCCTGGGTGGGGCAGACAGTCCCCTGGAGCAGTGGCGGAAGGTCCTTTGGGGGCCATGGCGGCTACACGACCCAGCATGGGGTCTATGTAAGGCCCATAGGGATGGCAGGGCCTCCGACTGTCCCCTCGGCCCTGACCCTGGGGCTCCTAGTTCGTCCCAGGGACGAGGGCACTTTCCAAACATCCTGATGGGGAGCCTCTAATTGTGTCATTTCTGAGTCCATGTGAATCTCTTTTGAACACTCATTTTTTGACATAATTGTCCCCTTTCTGAGACAGTTGGGGGGAAACCCTTACGGGCTCCCTCCTAAGCGAGTAAGGTCACAGGAGGCACGGGCTCTCACCTGGCGTGTTCACCGTTTCCAGGGACGAGGTGGTGGTGCACCAGCTTCCCAGCGCCTGCCGCATCTTGTCAGTCCTGCTGGGAAGGTCACTCAGAGTCTGAAACAACCTGGAGAAAAAGTAGGTGGAAAAGCTTCAGGGAAACCAGTTCAGACCACAGGCAAGTCACCAGACAGTCGGCAAGTCGGGATTGCGAGCTGAGTCCCGTACTTATCCTGTGGCCTTGGTGGCATGTCCTTCAAATACAAAGAGCTCTTACCAACCAACAACAAGAATGTCAATGCCAATGAGCAGATAATTCACAGAAGGAAAAGAATAGCTCCTAAAAAAATTGTGCCCTACATACAATGAAAGAAATACGAACAAAATTTGTAAATGGTAGTCTTTTCTTGTCTCTCTGATTGGAAAAAAAAAAAAGAAGAACCTTAATTTCTGGTGTTGCTGAGTGTGAGGAAGTGACGCCCTCACCATGCAGCACGAACTAGCACAACGTGGCGGCATGTTTCTCAAAACCTTCAGTTACCCAAGAGGCACAGACATGTGAGCCAGTGTCCCGGCACCCCTCCCCTGCCCTGGGGAAGGAGCCCAGCTCCCCAGACGGCACCCGTGACGCCCCCGCCTTCACTGGGTCTCCTTCCCTACCCACAGGGGCCCCTCAGACAGGCTCCGCCGATCAGCAAGGGAGGGGCTGCGGGAGGGAGCACTGGACGCTCACCCTCCCGGGCTGCAGACTCCAGGACCCAGCTCCGGGGAGCTGCTGCCCAGCTCTGCCCTGTGGGGCCGGCCCACGTGTCCCCTGGGTGTGCAGCTGGAGCCACGGAGGTTGGGCCGGGAGGGGTGACCGCTGGCTCGAGTCCCAACTCCGCCACCAGATGCCAGTGTCACCACCGGCCCCCGGCCTCCTGTTCTAAGGGCGTTTCTCCCACCTGCACGGAGCAGGAAGCCCAGATGTGCACTTGAAGCTACAGAAGGTTCCCTCCCGTGTTCTGAGGGTTGCACGCAGAGGAGAGACGCTGGGGCAGACACGGGTCCAGAACTGCCATCGCTGGTGGCCTCCACTTCTGAGGCCGACATGTGCCCACAGGCCTGCAGGGTCACAGGGCCTTGCCCGGCCTGCCCCCAGGTCTCAGCGAGTCAGAGGCGCGGGCCACCCGGGGCTGTGGCTGAGGGCCACCTGCCAGACACCACCCTCCAGGGGGATGAGGTTCAAGGCCCCAGCAGGCCCAAGGCCCCCTCCCCAGACAGAGACCCAGCTGGCTCTGGGGTGAGTGAGGGAGTATGGCCAAGGGGAATGGGGGGCCCGGGGAAGAGCTGCCCACCTGCCAGCTGTCCAGACGCTCTGGGCCCCAGTTGGCCCGTCCCTGGAGGGGAGGGTGCTCGGGGAGCCCCCCGCCTTCACGAACTCTCCAATACTCTGAAGCTGAAAGGCGAGCCCACCCTGCCCACCTTTGCCTAAAGCAGATGAGAGACTGGTGGGTGGAATCTCTAGAAACCACTTCTGCAAAAGCCAAAGGAAGTGGTGGCCCAACAGAAAACGCTCCCCCCCCAAGAGGTCCTTCGTGTGCCGAGGTGGGGCGCAGGGCCGCGACCCTGACTGTCGGGCCCTGCAGCCTGGCCGGACTTGGAGAGACCAGAGAGGGTCCCCACGGAGAGAACCGGTGCGGCCAGCAGCAGGCCCAGGCCGGAGCAGCGGGGGGGCCGGGCAGCCCTAGCCGACCCCAGCGCCCAGTCCCGCCCTACCACCCATTCGCTGGCCAGCACTCCTCAGCTGGTCCTGACCTTGGGACACGTGGCTTCAGGTGTCTTTTCAGGGATTTCCTGAACCTGGTGACCCAGTTGGTGGCACTTCCTGTCCCACAGTCACCTCCTCTGCTTTCTGCCTGCTCTCAAGTCCATGACCCCTACCTTGCGCCAGCCCAGCCTCGGCGGGTCCCGGCGTTCTCCTGAGCTAGCAGCTGGGACACCAGCAGCACCCAGCGTGGCCCAGAACCGTCCCACCCCGCCAGCCCAGAATGCCCATGGCCCAGCCTGGGGGTGGCTGGGACTCCATGGGGAGCAGGTCACCCTCCCAGGCACAGGCTCCCCTTGGGCCAGGGTCTTCTCCTGGCCTCTCCTGTTGGGGTTCAAGTGAGAGGACAAGGCCTGGCGGGGTGGTCCCTGTGCCCCCCACACCGAAGCGCACGCTGCCCTCCCTGGCCACGCACAGCAGCCTTGGTCCTCACCGTGGCCCGGCCCGCCGTGGGGGTCCCAGAGGGGGGTCCAGGCTGTGGAGCAACAGGTCTTGTGAGGTGGCCCTGCCTCCACAGAGGGTGCTCCAGCATGGGCCTCAGGGAGGGACATGCCAGCCTGGGCTGGTGTGCTGGGGACCCGTGACAGCTGCGGTCTGTGGCTGGGTCAGCCCAAATTCCTGTCACACCTGCCCCTGGGCTCCAGTTGCCTCCACGTCCCTGCCCCTGCTGGCCCCGGGCACCTCCAGGCTCACCTATGCCCCCAGGAGGCTCTCCTGGCGGCCCCGTTGCCTCTGCACCTCCGCACCTCCTCCAGCGCTCATCGGTGAGACTCTGCCAGGGTCTCAGCGCGGTGAGCGGCCAGCCCGCTTTCCGGCTGAGAGTGGGCGCAGCCGGCGGGGCCTCGCGTGGCTGGTGGGGAGGCCGCACTGCCCGCCCCTCAGCATGGCCCCTCGTCCTTTAAAACACATGTTTTTCTTTCCTGTTTGTTCTGCTATGAACTTCTCACACAGGCTGGATGCGGGACAGTGACCTCTGTGCCTCCAGCCCCCGGTCACCGGCCTGTCCTCTGTCTGAGCCTCTCACACCCCAGTGGGCCCGGCTCCTGGGGCTGCCTTCCGGGCTGGACACCCTGCGTTTCTGTGGACATGCCAGGTCTCCCCATCTCTCCTCACATGCTCCCCAGACCCAACTGTAGGGGACCGGCTTGTTTTGGTCTGGCCGATGTGACTCAGCTCTGTGTGGAAAACCTACAGAAGCGAAGTGGCGGTCAGGAGCCAGACCTTCAAACCGAGTTTTCCCGTGGGAATCAGGCCTAGAAAATGCACACAGACTGTTATGGCTTGCTGTTGCTAAAATTCCATCACCCTGGTCTAAAACAATAAATGTGTATCATCTATCTTCAAGGTAATTTCCAAAGCTTGTGTGAATTTTCCCAAAGACAGAGCTAATCAGCTTTCTCTTCTGCATGTGTTATTTTCATTTCCTTGATTGTACCTAAAATTGCACAGTAATATTCTATGTAAAAGATAATAAATCCTTCTTTGATGTAAGACCAAAAAAAACAATAAAAGCCTGTCTAGGCGAGGGTCGGGCGCTCCGCTAGAGAGAGTAGCCGTCCCCTTTCCCCACCGGGTTGCTGACTCTGTGCATTTGTTCTCCTCTGCAGTCACAACCGGCGGACTCTGCTGGCCGGAGTCGCCACACCCGACCTCGGCTCTGTCGGCACCCAGGGTTCCCGCCCTGGCAGCAGGTCACCAACGGGCTGGGGGGCAGGCCACTGCCTCACTGCTCACACGCTGGTTCCCATTTTCATCAATGTTCAAGGCAACTTCTGAAAACACATGTGCATTTCCCTAGTCCCTCGTGAGGTGGGGTTGCCTGCCCAGCCCACATCTTTCTACTCTTGCCCCCCTCCCTCGGGGTCCAGGCAGCAGCGGCCCTCCTCCGGCCCAGGCAGTCCCCGGAGACAGGGGAGCTCGCTACTCGACACCCTCCCGACATCCCTCGAGTCCGAGGCAGGCACAGGGCACCCAGGACGTCTCCAAAGGCCCAGGAGGCACACGGACCGGCCTCAGGGGTGGAGCCGCCCTCCACTCCAACTCTCTCGCCCTGGACCAGCACCAGGCAGGAGCTCTGAGGACACAGTCTCAGGCTAGGGGGTTCTGAAGGGGCCACAGGAGGTCACCCCTGCACCCCACACCCTGCTGCCAACACAGCGCCATGGGTACTGGTGCCCCGGAGTCCCTGAGGGAAGACCCAGGCTAAGACCCTCCCACAAGCCACCAGTATGCAGTGGTCGGGACTCCCCGTGGGCCCCCCCATCACCACCCCTGGGAGACTCAGGCCCTGCCTGGTGGCTCCGCCCTCCCTGCAGGCCCAGCTGGGTGGGGGCTTCCAGGAAGCAGGGGTACTAACCAGCTGTCTCCAAAACTCCCGACCACAGAGAGTCCCCCAGGATGGCCAGCAGCTGTGGGATGAAAGTTGTCTTGTTGTGACACTATAAGCTGTCACCTCCCAGGGACAGACAACAGGAAACGGGCCAGGCCCACTTCCCCTCATCGCCGACGCCAGGCAGAGACAGACTCGGGAGCCTCCGCTGAGCTCCCTCAAGACCCAACCAGCCGGCCTGGCCGCACACAGAGCCAGCATGCACGGGCTGCCGGCGCCAGGGTCCCCAGACCTTCTGGGCGGGATGCATGGGGGCGGGAGGCTTCGGGGGCACCCAGCTCCTGACCCAACGCCTCCAGGAAGCAACCCTGTGGGTGCTGGGAGGGGCCTCAGTCGTCACTGGTCACGGCGGCCCTGGTGCAGCTCACCCACGGCCCCACGTCAGTGTAGGTGCCACCCCCATGCACACAATGCCCTGTCCCCACTCCCACCCCGGGGTCCTGCTGGAGGAAAGGGGTGCCACATACCAGCCTGGGCACTGCCTGGGCCCACAGAGGTGACCCCTGCTAGACCCCAGGGACTCCTGGACACCACGCCCTTCTCGGAGGTGCCGCCCACCCCGGCTGGCTCTCAGACACCCGCTAAAACAGCCCGCACCCCAGCACATGGCCCAGGCTTCTTGCTGGTTCCGGGTTTCGAGATGATTCGGGCAGTGTGGGCCCCTTTCCTGTGTCAGCTCCAAAGGCCTGGCTGTCTCAGCCTCCCAGGCAGGGCCAGCTGCCTCCACTTCTGGAGTCTCTGTGCCAGCACGTGAAGGGCACTGGAGGCGGCCAAACCCCTGTGTGTCCTGGGCGGGGGGTGGGGGGGGGAGCCCAGGTGCGCCCCCACCCTTCACTGTCCTGCAGACACAGGATAATCACGGCCTCTGGGTCCCTGGAGCGCAGGCAGGTCTGAGCATGGCTCCCAAAGCCTTCTGGGGGGCCAGCCCGGGGGCTGCGGTATCCACGGGCCACTGCCCAAAGGTGATGCCCGCCTCGCAGGGGCTCAGGCCCAGGACAGCCCTTCCCCATGAGCACGTGGAGCTGAGGCTCTGGGTGCCCGAGACCTACTGCCACCATCGCTGCACAGCAGCCTCCAAAGGCCCAGGGTCCCAGGCCGGGTAGGCCTCAGCGGGGCGGAGCCCAGGCCGGCTGAGCCAGGCACCCCTTGGGGCACTATCAGTTCATGCTGGGGCCTGCTCCCTTCCGCCCCCCACTCAGGGGGTCCTGCACCCGAGTGGGTGGGTCCTGGTGGAAAGCCTCCCCTCTGTGCCCTGCTGGTTGCATGAGGTCAGCTGAGGCCACCCCCCGGTTCCCAGCGGAGTCTGGAGTGGAGAGCTGGGGGTGAGCTGGGGTGACAGCTGTGCCCCCGCCCAGGGCCCACATGGCCCCTGCCTGAGCAGGCCGGGTGCGGGCGGAGGGGTTTGGAGCAGGAGAGGGCTAAGGGGCACCTGTGGGTCAGGGCCTTAGAGCAGCAGGAGACGGTCACCTGGGCGGAGGTCTGGATGCTTCTCCTAAGGGCAGAGTGTCTTCCCGCAGGGGAGGGCGTCTGCAGCCTCCTGTGACAACACCCCCTGGGCCCCCTGAGAGAGAGGGCCACATGCTGCCCTGGCCCTCAAGTCCTGCTGGGCAGGGGCCCGTGAACCTGCAAGGTCCTCCTCAGGCCTCCTGCGTGTGGTTCCGTTCTCACCATCTCGCGAGAGGGAAAAGCATTCACCTGCGATCGGATCCAAACGCCAGAGGGCGCAGGAGGGTGGGCGTGGCGTCCTGCCCCCGCCCTGTGTCCAGCCCCACGCAACCACCCCAGTCTGGGGTTTTCAGGGTTTTAGGAACAAAAGCAGTAGAGCGTGAACCCTGCGGAGCCACCACCTGGATTCAACAAACACGTGTTCTGAGACGTGCGACCTCCGAAAGCGGCGTGTTTCCGAGTAAAACGCACATGCCGGGACTCGGCACCGGATGCCCACGGCCTCCCCGCCAGACCCGACGCGCCCTGCCCTCCTGGCCTCTCACCGGAGTGGTGCCACCCCAGCTTCCCTGCTGCCCCGCAGGGTTCGTCGCCTGGCGAGGCCGGGCACCACCGTGGCAGGCGCGCTGCAGGTCCCCCTCCCTTGGACGCAGCGCCCCCTTCTGGCAGCCCCTGACACTGGCTTGGGAAGGGACTTGGCCAGTCGCCGTGTACACTGTCCTGCATCCGGGTTTTGCTTGACTGAGGCCTCGCTGCACCACTTACCATGGGTCTCTCACCCACAGTTCCTGTATCTGGAAGTTGGTCCTAAATCCCTGAAGCGACTCTGAGGGGAAGCGACTCTGGTGACAGTCCCCTGCGGCCAGGTGACAACAGGAAATGACCGGCAGGTGAGGTGCACAGGACATCACTCCTGCCCCTGACCCCCGACCTGCCTGGGAGCTGCACTGCCACTCAATCTCACCGAGTCATTGTGCCGTCTGTGGCCACGGGGTGGTTCCACGTTCCTCGTGGACTGGCAAGCAGGCTGGCGCAAAACAGTGTCCCCATCACCGGGGACACCGGTGTCCTGCGGCCACAGCTGAGGAGGTGGACTCTCTCTCAGTGTCATTCGGGTCTCAGAGATCTTTTTATTGTGGCAAACTTCACATCACACAAAATTTCCTGTTTCGACCACTGGTAAACATGCAGCTCGGCGGACTCCGGGGCACTCACAGTGTGGTGTCGACCCCGCCAGCCCTAGACTTGCTCGCTCCCCACCTGAACCTCCATCCCCACCACACTCGGATCCCGCCTGGCACCGCCGTCTCCCACCCCTGCAGGGACCCTGAGTCAGTGGAGTCAGTGTTTGTCCCCCCGTGTCCCCTTATTTCACTCAGCATGATGGCTGCACAGTCCACCCCGTCAGGGCGGGGGTCGGGACGGCCTTCCCTTTAAGGCCGGGACAGTCCTGTGCGGGGAGGGAGAGCCCGTTGCTTACCCATCACCGAGGCCACCACCTTCCAGCGGCTGTGGACAGGCTGCATGGACTCATGGGTTCCTGCGCCTTCGACGTGGTTCTGTCAACTGCAGACGTAATTCTGGAGGACAGCTGTCTCACACTTCCCACACCGGGCACCCTGCCTCTTCACGTCTGTCACTGTGACACAGGTCTGCAGCGCCTGGTGTCACCCTCAGGCCTTAGCGGTGGTGCTGACTCAGGGCCCAGGCCGGGGAGGCAGGGGACTCCTGGGGGCTTCCCCTGGACTCAGCCACACTCAGAAGAGCAGGACTTTCCCTGGATTCTGGCAGCAAAGGGGCTTTTGGGGCCACTCCTGAGAGAACCGGCTTGAAGGGCTGAGGCTGGGGGCAGGGATGGGGTTTTTGAGAAATGTCACAGACCTGGGTGATTCTGAAGCCCAATTATGAAGCCAGCCTGTGCTCTGAAGGGGAGCACCCCATATGCAAACTAGGAGTCTGGATTTCAGCAAAGTGGTGGCGTGTCCCAGTTCAGGCAAATTACCCGTCCCCAGACCCCTGATGCCCTTGACAAGCTCACGGGCTCTTCTCTCCTTTGGGCTGGCTGGACAACGTCCACAGCCTTGGGAAACCCATGCCTTCTCAGGGTCCAGAATGGCTGCTTGAGCTCCAGCCTTCCCACCTGCATTCCAGGTGTCAGGAAGGAAGGATGCTGAGAACAGTGGGCCATCCCTGTTAGGGGACATCCAAGAAGGCACCCCATTCAGGACTCAGGAAGGAGCCAGGCAGAGCCAGCTTCTTTCTGGGATAGAAGGGGCCACAAAGCTGTGGGAAGAGGCCACTGAGTTGCTCCACAGCTGCTGTAGTGAGCACCTACTGTGTGTGCCACCCAAAGCAGGGGTCAGTATTCTCCCCACCACCAGGGAAGGCAGCCCAGCCTCCCTCAGCCCTGCTGCTTGCCCAGGCTTCAGTCCTCCGACCCCCAGCTCCTCCCAGGAGCGTGGCACCTTCTGTGGCTTTAGGAGCTGTGTGTTTGGGCACATAAGGTCCCAAAGACCAAGGCCATGGCAGATCTCACCCAGAGGGACAGCAGAGGGGGCAGCAGAGGGGGCAGCCTGTCTCCCAGGCTGGCAGTGTCACACTGCCATGCCAGGTGTCAGTGTCAGAGGTCAGAGGCCAGAGGTGGGGGAAAGAGGGAGGCTGAGATAATGTCCAGGGCTAGATCCACAGGCCAGGTAGCGGTTCAGGGGTTTCGACCCCAAGGAGACT